ATTAGATGTCTAAGATGATTAATGAAGGAACTAAACTAGGAAAATTCCAAGATTAGCCTAACTATTGCGTTCTATGTGAGAATTTGAGCCTAATGAAGCACACCATCCTAATGCTTATTTCATTCAATGTGTGATTAATTTTATTGAATTTTGATATTCTAAAACTTGTTCAGTGATGCATATTAAGCCTGCATTTAGAAACTTGATGTATTTAACAGGACGAGGGCACTATGGAAACCCTTTTGGCCTTTATTTCTTGCCTACCCTGAGTAAAATTTATCAATTAGAAAGCTCATTTAAGCCTTTATTACCCATATTATTTTCGATGATTACATAATTTTCACTAAGCCAAAAAATTTATTTTGTACTAAATTCAACTTTTGCTTGATCTTTTGACAATAGAAAATTATGTTTGGAGTGATGCATATTATTACTTGTTTAGAGTTTGATAGAGTGCAAAAGAAAGAAAATAAACAAGTCGGAAAAGAAAAGGAATTAAAAAAAAAAAGAAGAAGAAGAAAATATGTAAAAAAAAAGGAAAAAAAAAAGGATATAAAATATATATGCATGAAAAAAATAAGAAAATACAGATTGAAATTAGTTAATAGATGGGAAAAAAGTTGTGATAATTGTGCACAAAAGAATTGCAATGTTCTTTACAATATCTTATTTTTGTCTCTATAAGCCGTCAAAGATTTTTCCTACCTTAAACCCTATCCCTATTACAATCCATAATAAAGACCCTTGCATTATTTGCATTAGGTTTCATTTTAGCGAGGGATGCGTGATCTAAGAATAAATTTGTGTAGTTGTTATTTTGCATGCAATTCGAGTGATGGGCCAGAATTTTTTCTTGAGAAATGAGTGGATACACTTATACATCCAATAAAAATTGGTAATGATGGTTTGGTTGGTAGATTCTGCCTTTAGTGAAGTTGTTTTCGTTAACGGTGTCTCTGAAAGATTAAAATATGTGAGTTCATGCGACTCTACAATACATACTTGAGGACAAACATTGTTTAAGTGTGGCAGATTGATATATTATGTCTTGCATAATTATTTAATATGTATATATTGATATTTTAGATAAATTTCTATTGATTTTATATCAGTTTAGGTAATATCCAAATAGGACATACAAAGAAAAAAAAAATCAAAAACAAGAAAAAATCATTGCTTAGTCATGCCTATGACTAAACGCTACTACTTGTCCGGAATCCAACAATTGTGGAATATATACAAGTTATGGAAATCTTTCTTCAAACAAGTGGATTCTAGTTTTCAATATTTGAAAGGAAAGTACATAATATCAACACAAGGAAAGTCAACCTACCATGTTTTGAGGTTTCAAAGATGGAAGAAATTCCAAATCAATGCAAATTCCAATACTCGATGAAGTTATATATGATAAGTTATTCGGTTGGCCAAAGAGGTCAAATTTGGATGTTTATAAGAGTTCAAGAAGGCTATAAAGAGAGGAGAATTCATGCATAGTAGGGAAAGGATTTGGAAACGCAAGAAAGATCACCTTAGAGCAAGACGAGCACCAAAATCATACCGGCAAGAGAAAAATCCACCCATAGTCAACCATCGATGCTCAAAAATCCTTTTTCTTATTTTTTTTTTTTTTTATGTTATATGTAACTAGGTTTTTATTTCTAGTCCCTAGAGTGGAGATTTGAACTTCGTGATTGGTGAGATTTTTTTACTTTCAATCAAAAGTTTCTATTTTCTTTGTTTGTATTCGTAAAGTTTATGTAAAAAGTATTTTTGGTTTATTTTCTTAGAACTATTATTACAGCCGGATATTTAGGTTAAATCGATATTATATAATCAATTGAATTATTGTATCCGCAACTGTGTAGTTGTTCAATCTAAGTGATGATAAGATGCTTACGAACTCTCTTATGAATTATATGATATGATTTAAATAACCCTGAGTAGGTGTTAGTGAATCATATATAATTGGGCTTTTTTAAAAGTTAAATACAATTGAAAAATTTAAATTTGTAGTCATACCTTGATTTCTTTCTTGAATTAGGGAATTAATCAACAATTGTACCTTGATTAACGATTAGGTAAGGAAATGCTGGAAGTTTGGTGCATGTCGACTTCTATAATCAATTTATCAATGAATTTAATAGAATAAAATATGCAATTAAGGATCAAATACATGAGTTCACTTCTAAATCAATCATTGAGCTAGGCTTTTAATTATTATTATCCAAAGTAATGTAGTTCTAATTTTTAATTCTAGTCTAAATGAATCCTCCCCATATTTATTATTAATAGGTGAAAGAAAAAAAAAAAATTAAACCGATCCTTGTAGAGACGACCATGCTTGTTATACAGTAGATTGCTAATTAGTAGAATATAAATTTTTATTGTACAACTTAAGGGCTGTCAAGAGCACCATTGGGAAACAATTATGGAACTAACCTGAGGGGTGGATCCACTAGCTAGAAAGTTAGATGCTAGTTGTCGATAAGTGTTAACCTTATATAAGTTTTTCGAACGTCTTTAAATAGGGTTAATGTTAGTCATTTATGTAGGAAAAAGTTTTTAAATCCCACTTGTGGTTTAGAAAATCGGCGTAAATTCCCCATATACTTTATAAACAACGTATTACCACTTTGTGTTTCCAAAAATCATACCTTTTTTTTATTATTATTATCAATTTTAACTAAGGGTGTTAGTTTTTTTTTTTTTTTTTTAATCCAATTGACCATTATACTTTTCAACTAAATAATCCTCACCTAACCTTCATTCTTTATTACTCCCAACACCCTCCCGCAACAACATCCCCTATGAACGCCTCCCACGATAACCATCTTCCGCGACGAATGAAGTCCGAATTGACGGTCCGACCGATGTCACCCCCCAAAGACTACTCCATCCGGTGGCATGTTTTCCTTTTTTGAACTCTCAATGTTAATTTCAACCTGTGAAACCAATGTTTTTACCTATTTTTTTTCGAGGCTTATTTTCCGATTCGAAGGAGTTCCAACGAACTCAAACATTCTTGTAAGTCACAGTTTAAAATGCATTTATTTTAAACCTATTGTGTGTTCTCCTTTTTCCATTGATGAGGCATTCAGTGTTTTGGGATTTCATTTTGACGAAGCAATGGTGTTGGTTTATGGCTAAATCGGGTCAAGAAGTTCCTCGATTTGCCATAGATGTTAATTTAGGGGTTTGATTAGTTCATTTTTTGTGCCTTTTAGATATTTTTATGGGTGGAAATTTTGTTGATTATGGTATGAATTCGGTTAGGAAATTTGGTTGATTATGTTGATTGAGATTTTTTCCTTGTCGGGTTCCTGTCGGTGGCAACATTCTAGCCATACAATAAAATTTTTTTACTTTCTATGCGACAAATTGCAGTATTACAAATATGGTCATCTTTACAGAGATCAGTTGATTTATTTCTTTTATTCTGTGAAATCAATTAAAGAATGAGGATTTTCTAACATTAAATCTAATCCTGAACTAAAATAATAAAAAAAAAGGTAATGAGAATTAAGAAAAGTTAATAATTCAAGAACATCGATAAAAATAATAAAAATGTCAAACCCAATGATTTATTTCAAAAGTGAACCACGAGTTTGATAATCAATTACATACATTATATATTAAATCTTTGGATAAATTGGTTATAGATGTCCACACACGTTTACCTTCCAATTTTCTTACTGAATTGTTAATTAAGGTATGACCGTTAACTAAAAGAAAGAAATTCAAGTACAATCACAAATTAAAATCTCTCAATTGTATTAAATCCTAGAAAAGTCCTATTACGATTTGCTAATTCCTATGCCGGATTATCAAAACTATATCATAACTTCTTAAAATAGTTTTTAAGCATCTTATTGTTATTGGATCAAATAATCACACTTACGGATACAATTATTCAATTGATTATGGATTATTAACTCAACCTAAATATATAGCCATCATATAAAATCAAGAAAATAAATCAAGACATACTACACAAAAAATTTACGAATTTTCAGGAAACGCAATAGAAATCGTTTAAAGATTCAATCTCACGAACCATAACCTCACCATCATCCACTCTCACACTACTAGATAATTCATTACTAGACAAAATACATTTTATTATGTTTACTTAAATGTGTTTTTTTGTCTATAATTTTCATTTTACTATTTATTATTTAAGAGTTTTTATCGTTGTAAAAAAATCTCATCAATATTTCTTATAAAATGTTACTTGTTTGATTATTCAAGTTTATGTGTTTTAATTAAGGTAGTTTTTCAAAATCAAATTATTTTAGAGTGATTTGAAATAATTCATTTCTTTTCAATTGGTGTTGATGGCTTTTTGTGTCAATTTCATTGTTTTCTTGTCTAGATTTTTCATTTTAATTATCAGAAATCAGATTAATATAATATAAAAATAATAAATATTTAATTTAAAATTCTTAAAAAAATAATTTATTAAATAGTAAAACTGACCCTATATAATTATAATCCAAATATGCCCCCATCCTAACCTGAGCGGTTGAGGACGGCCCGAACCTGAAACCCCGTCCCAAAGTACCATATTACCATCCCTCATTCCTAAACATAGGCAGAGAATTTGTGTATCGGAGAGGCTTTTATCGTTGCAGTGCAAAAGAGACTCCCTCTCCACTGTAGTGATCTCTCTCTCTCACATCGCTGCGTCGCGGCAACCGCATGATTGCCTAGAAGAATCTCAATCTTGTATTCTTCGAGTGGTACGTTTTGCTTGTATATATATATATATATATATATATATAGGTTGTCAAATGGAAAAAACCTAATCTCCCCAAAGCTGAAATTGATATATTGATCGTTTATTTTCAGGACTATTTTGGAGAAAGAATGTTGCTCCTAATGCATATGTGTGCGCTAGCGGTTTAGTGTTGTGACGTGAGGAGAAAAAGCGGTGCTTTTTTTGCGGGTGATTGAGTTGGGCTAGGGCGTGGTGGGGTTTATATGTATTTCTGTGAGTGCATTTTGATAGTGCAGTTTGATATTTTCAATATTAGTGTTTGGATTAGGCGTCGCTAATCTAACTATATGCAATTTCGTTGTTTGTAGTATTATATTTTTGTATATATAGTTTTCAAGGAACGGCTCTTTCCAAAAACATTATCAACTACTGGTCCCGTGAATTTAGTTATTTATTTATTAATTTATTTTGGTGGTAAAATTGAAGATGTTTGTGATTATGAAATTTTCAATTATCTAATGGATTACCAAGACTGAGGGATAGAAGTTCTTGACCTGAAGTTGGTCTTTCCTCGATGGCAAGGAGCTTGGGGGTTGAGAGTTTTGTTCTGATGAAGTGGCTTCAGAAATCTATTATGGCACGCATTTTCCAGTGATGTAATTTGATCTTGAATTAAGTTTTCTGCTGTATATCTAATGAAGTCTTTGAATTCTGTTGCATGGATTCCAAATTTTTAAAGTTTCTGTTGCTTCTCCCTTTTCAGGTGTCATTATGCATGACTTCATTCTCTAGTTTTGAATAGAGTAGCAAAGCAATAATCAACTGCAGTGGAACATTTTATCAAGTCATGGAAGGAAGTAGGAGAAATTTCGTCAACAAAAGATCTCAACCTCAGTTCAAGAGAACAGGAGGCCCTATTAAAAGAAGAGAACGTAATTCTCCTAGGGAAGAATCTGAAGCTTTTCATTTGTCTAAGACAGTTTATCGTATCCTTTGTCAATCTAAAAAGATTGGTAGTGTAATTGGAAGGGGTGGTGATATAGTGAGAGCCCTCAGAGAAGAGACTCAAGCTAAGATTACAGTTTCAGATTCTGTTCCTGGTTCAGATGAGAGGGTGATTTCAATTTTTAGTCCCTCAGATAAATATGGGAAAACACGAAGAGGCAGAGACAATGAAAGAAGATATGGTTCTATGGAGCCACATTGTGCTGCTCAAGATGCTCTCCTAAAAGTTTTTGACAAAATAGTCAAAGAAGAAATTCTTGGAGCTGACAATAGGAGTAGGGATGAAACTGTGGTCACTGCTCGCCTTTTGGTTTCAAATAATACTGTTGGCTGTATTTTGGGAAAGAAAGGAGATGTGATCCAAAGATTACGCAGCGAGACTGGTGCAAACATACGCATTCTTCCTGTCGAACATCTACCTGCTTGTGCAATGAGCGGTGATGAATTAGTGCAAGTAAAATTTTATGGTCACCCTAATCCATATGATTATTTTCTTGTGTTTTTTGGGCTTAAATCATGTCTTAGATAGAAAGCAACGTCCTTTGGCCAAATGCCCATTGTGTGATTATGCATATACTTGGACTAGCCTTACTGGATTGCCTGGCATGCTTATCTGCATATTCTGAACCAAATCTGTGTTATATAACTACTTAGTGAAACATTTGTTATTTTGCCTCATCGCAGATTGAAGTGCAGAGATGGATAGAAATAAGATTGGCATTTTTCTTCTGTCGGGGACTGAAAATATCCATAGAATTAGGAGGCAACTGCACTTCTGTGCTTTCATCAAATGATGCATGTTTCTTCTCTTTCAAGCTTAGAGTGTCGTCATGGATAGCTATAGTATTATGGCCTATCCTATTAGGAGTAAAAGGGCAAGTATTAAAAGTTTGAAACTTCTAGCCTAAACAGAATGCCTGCCAGCTACCTTTAAACACTTCTTGTTTTTTTTATGTAAAAGCATTATGTATGATTTATTTTTCTCTATTTTCAATTCCGGTACTAGTGGACTTCTGTGCTTTCATCAAATGATGCATGTTTCTTCTCTTTCAAGCTTAGAGTGTCGTCATGGATAGCTATAGTATTATGGCCTATCCTATTAGGAGTAAAAGGGCAAGTATTAAAAGTTTGAAACTTCTAGCCTAAACAGAATGCCTGCCAGCTACCTTTAAACACTTGTTTTTTTTATGTAAAAGCATTATGTATGATTTATTTTTCTCTATTTTCAATTCCGGTACTAGTGGACTTTGCTTGCATTTTAGAACTTTGTTAATAGGATGTTTATCTTATTTATTCAGAATTTTCCAGATAAAAGTGACTTTTGGCAAAATTCAAGAGCTTTTATTGACATTCATACATCTTCTAGATTTATTTTTCTTTGTTGTTACTGTTGGTGTTCTCTTTTCTCCATTTAATTAAGCAGAAGGTTTAAGGAATATTTTCTTAACTCTATGCCAGTTAACATGGTCACATGTAATGCTACAAGTGGTTCAAGATCTTTCTTGGGTTATCATGCTATGATCAATTTTTTACTATTGATGTTTTCCATTTTAGATATCAGGTAAAGCTGCGATAACTAAGAAAACACTGTATAAAATATCAACCCTTCTGCATCAGAATCCACGTAAAGATGCTCCTCCTTTACAATTTTCAAGTCATGCTAGTCAAGGATTTGACCTGCCTGGTCCTCCAATAAGAAATGATCATCCCACTGAAAATTCAGCTTGGTTGGAGCGCTCTGCCAATGCTCACAGGATGCACCCTATGGCTTGCAAGGGAGACTATGGGATTGATCCATCTGGATTAGGTCCTGAAGATTTTAATGGTTCAACTCCTCCACATGAAAGAGATGTTGCAAGTGAGTTCACTATGAAAATGCTTTGCCCAGCTGACAGGATCGGTGGAGTGATTGGCAAGGGTGGTTCTTCTGTCAGGCAATTAGAGCGGGATACAGGAGCTAGTATCCTTGTTGAGGATGTTTCTAGAGAGTCATATGAAAAAGTAATTCGTGTCTCTTCCTTTGAGGTTAGTTTTCGTTCTACTTTCTTGGATGAATTTTTGTCAGCTCAAAATTGCCTTTGACTGAGTTGAAGATTCTTTCAGGTTCTTCGGGATCAAAGATCTCATACCATCGATGCTATTCTTTATCTTCAAGATAAAACAAGTGAAGTTTCTGACCAGGGAACAATAACAACAAGACTGCTTGTTTCATCGAATACGGTTGGCTGTATTCTTGGGCAAGGAGGCCATATTATCAATGATATGAGGAGGAGAATCAATGCAGACATACGCATATTTTCAAGGGATAACAAGCCCAAATGTGCATTGGATGATGAAGAACTCATTCAGGTGATGTCTCTTCTAGTTACCTTTTTTGTTCTCTTCTTGTACTACCCTAGATGTATCATGCTTTTGATCCTCAGATATGTGGAAGTTTTGGGATGGCTAAAGATGCCTTAATAGAAATTGCATCAAGACTTAGAACAAGATGTCTGCGTGATGCAAATTCTAAAGGGGAACCTGCTCCAGCAAGACCACTCCCCAGATATTGCCCCACCGAAGATTTATACAGTGGTGGATTCCCTCCGTTGAATACTGCTAGAGCTGGAAGCTCAGTAAGCTATGAACATATGCGGGTATTAGTTCTTTTTCATTGTCTGTACCTCATGCCTTCCAAGATGCTGCCTGTTAGTATTGTGTCATAAAGTAGTTTTCAACCCTTTAAAAATATTTTTTGGGCCATAAGCACACAGGTAAAGATGGCGAATGCATACCCAAAAAAGTTTAATTATATTTTGAGGTCTCTTTGTTTCGTTACTTTCTGAAGTTTCCCTAACTTGATGGCGATGATGATGGTGTTCTTACTATTTTATGAACACTGATATATGATTTGTATGTATGTATATACTTGTTGAACACGTATATTTGCTATTTAAGTAATTCAAACGGCACTTTGATATGACAAGTATCACACCAACACTTCTGTTGATAATCAGGGTTTCTTTCATGACATTGAACCCCCAAGTTTTCCTTCTCCTAATACTACTCATGGTACTGTTCGCGACTTTGAACTACCAAGTTTTCCTGCTCTTTCTCATGCCACTCAAGGAAGAGCCTGCAACTTTGAACAGCCTGGTTTTCCTACTCCTCTTCATACTACCAGGTACTAATTACTTCTAAGCATTTTATACTGCACTCTAAATATAGGTAAATTATTGAAGCAGAATCTGTTAATGACATGAACTCAATCAGGTTTATTCATGTATGTTCTTGGCTTGTGTTTTTTGTTTATGTTAAACAAGTGCTGTTTGAATTTGAGGTTGATTTGGCTCACTAATCAATTATCTAATTTTGAGATTTTAGTTTGAAATCAAATTCAAACTCGACTCTTCGTGTTAAATATGCCATTGTTATTGGGGAAAAAATAGAAAATTAACAAAACTATTGGACTGTGTATTGTGTAAAGGTTAAACTTGAGTTTAATAATTTAAAGCAAATATTTCAAATGCGGAATAAATCGACTTACTGTCGTAATGAACACTAATGAATTTGTTTAAACATAGCCAACTAAGCCGGAGCTCATTCATAAATGTGACAAGCTAAAATTTATGTTGAGCTTTGGTTGTTTAACTTATGAATTGAGCTTTTATCGCGCTAGAGCAAGTTGATATCTCAAACAGCTTCTTTTGTTTACAACTGATTGAAGCTTCCCCTAATTTGCCCCTTTAATTTTACTATTCAAGTAGTTTTAAGCCTTTTTAATATAATTAGAAACTAGCCTTTGATAATTTTCTATGTAAACTCTGATATTGATATCATTACTTAACACTCCCTCCGGTCCATCTACCGTGCACATTTTCGTTTTTATACGTTCCACATCTCATGTCACTTTTTTTTTTTGAAAAGGATTATACTTTTTAATCTCATTTTAAAGTTTCTAATTTATAATTTTTTTTTAAAAATTTTAACTAAACGAATTAGTTATTCCAATTTTAATCTATAATTATTTATATTATAGTATATTGTTTTAAATAATACATTTTAATTATTTACTAATTATATTTCTCCTAAATTCCCGTATCTACATTAATCTGGACACGGTAGCCGGGATGGAGGGAGTATGATAAAGAAAAGTCCACTTTTTTCTTCAAAATATTCCACAATTGCTTCTCTACACCTTTTTTCTTTTTCTTTTTTCTTTTTTCTTTTTTTTTTTATTTTTCTTTTTATTATTTTTCCTGTTGTTAATGAGGCTATTATTTGGTGTAAATCATAGAAAACCCTTACTATATGCATGTAACATTTTATATTTGCATATTTGGTCAATTCTTTATGTCCTTGTTTCAGGTACCAGGATATCAATGAAGCTAAAATTGCTTCTGTATCAGCAATGGAAGGGGTCCACTGGACTGAGGTAAGATTTGCCTCAAATCATTGTCACAATATAATCGAAATTGGGATGATACTTGGAGCACATTTTGGAGAGTTCATTTAAAATGTTGTATTTCTTATGGTTTATAGCTAAACCATGATGACTTATTTTAAATATGAGCTATTTGAGCATTTTATTAAAAAGGATTAAGGAGTTTACAAGCATGCATAGGTGATTCATAATATAGACTCTTAATACTGTCATAATGATTGAATTGAAGTACAACCGACTTTATTAAAATGCTATTAAAAATTTATTTGAATAATTTAATATATTAATTTAATATTGACTTGTGCTCATGAATAGTAGAAATTTTAATAATCTCTTAAAAATCAATTTTCAAGAAAATACTGTTGATGTTGTAGCTGCTGTTGTTATTGTAAGCTTTATGTGGGTCATTGCCACTTTTTCCTCTTCTGTTTCTTTGAGGATCTTGAAATTTTCCAGGTATTGTTGTCCTTGGCTGATGCAGAATGTTTTTGAAATTATTCTATTTGTCATTGTGGAAGAACTCTCTCATATTTATCATTATATTGTTTTACAATTTCCTTGGCTAGTTGTTGAGAAAAAATTGATAGTTTGATTAAAGGAAACAGCATTCAGTTTCTTTTTCAATTTGTCACAATGCCTACGAGAAAGAAGAAATATTATTTTTAAAAAAAAAAGAATAGGAGATAAAATAGAAGAGTGAAAATCTTGAAGGAAAATTGAAGGAAGTAGAAAATGAACAAAATGGACAAGTAAAAGAATATGGTGGTATGGTCGTTTCATTTCACTAGCGGAAGAATTAGTTTCACTTGTTGTAAGGCCATGGAAATATCTACTACTCCTTATGTCATCCAAATCTATTCTTACTCTTTTTTTTTTTGTTGTCATTTATATTTATTCTCTTTTTTTTTCAAGTAAAAATATTATTTTTTCTACTTTTTTTTATACCCTTTTTAAAGTAAAAGTTTTTATTTTTATTTATTTTTTTTAAAATTCGTGTCCGGTCAAATGAGCATACAATTGGATGATGGAGAGAATATATGTGAATTCGAATTTGGTTGATCCACAAATATCTGGTCACAATAATTTGCTTCCTTTGGACAGAAGTCGGGAAATTGTCAGGCTAATATTATCTTACTTTATATATTCCTTCTTTCATAAGAAGGCTGTCATTTATTATTATTTATGTTGTGTTGTTGAAGAAGGCCTTAGGGGGAAATGTGCTTAATAAATATTTATTGTAAACAGGAGGTTGCAGGAGTTAGAATGCGCATGAGCGGCCGGGATCCATATCCAGATCCTTATCTATCTGACTTGAGCAGGAGGGAGCTATTCTCTGCTCCACAAAATACATACTTTGCTGCTGCTGCTTCATCTCCAGAGAGGAATATCTATGAGCGACCAGGCCTAAGCCTCCATCAAGGGCAAAGCTACAATTTTTATAATAATCGAGGTGCGTATGAAGATAGTAGTGCTGCTTCTCCAGTTGCGTATGAAACTGCTGCTTGTAGCGGGACGCGGCATGATGATATGTACCAACGCATGGGCATGAGAATGAAAATGAGAGCAGAATATGGTTCTTAACAATATTGATCGGTTATGAATGCTATTTTGTACAAATAATAATAATAATAATAGTGAGACAAGATGAGATGAGATGAGATGAGATGAGGCGAGGCGAGGCGAGGGAGTTTTCAATTGATCATCATGTGATTGTAGAAATTAGTTAAGTTGGTAGTGTGTACGGAAATTGATCTCCCAACTTATCAATTAACCATGCCAAGGTTGAACTGATATCTTGCCTACCTTATTATAGTGGCTGCTGCTCTTTGTCATTGATTGATTGAAGAAGATACTGATAGTTTAGTTTTCTTTTTTTGTCCTTGGTTTTCCGTAATTCTATTCTACTTTTCTTTTGGTTAGAGCTGTTAACGATCCGAGTTGAGCCAAATTTTAAGTGTTCGTTAACGTTCACGAACAAGGCTCGTATTCGTTCGTTAAGCCTTCGAGCTCGTTCGTTGTGTTCGAGCTCGGCTCGTTAAGAATTTTTATTGTTTGAGCTCGTCTTCGGCTCGTTTAGGCTCGATTAAGTTTGTTCGAACTCGTTTGTCTTATTTTTTAAAATTTATATATAAATTATAAAAAAAAAATAAAATTATATATTTATATATTTAAAATTAATATTTTATTTATTTATAAATTATAATTATATATATATAATATTTATAATAAATATATTATTTAATCAAATGTTCACAAATAAAGTTCGGGTTCGTTCGTTAACTAAACGAGCCTGTTTATATTGTTTGGCTCGTTAACATTCACGAACGAATTTTAATCGAGCCGAACAAAGCCGAGTTTACGAACGGCTCGATTTGTTATTGTCCAGGGAAAAAAACATCTCTACTCTTGATTGTCCAGGGAAAAAACATCAGTCAGTTTTGCATTTTTTTTTTTTTTTTTTCATGAAGGTATGGGTGGGCTGGTTCACAATTCATTTGAACCCACCCACCAATATGCATATTAATTACTTCATTCCACAATGTTTGTAAAAGATGTCTGATAGTGTGGTGGTAAGGGATGGTAGCGTGGTGGTGGACTTTTGAATTATATAATATTATTTTGTGTTTAAATTTTACAAAATAATTCATATTTTATTTATTGTGTTGAATTTTCTTGTTTCAAATTAAAGCACACACAAAAATTTCTTCTTCCAAATATAATGTTTGCTTGTAAATATGCATTAAATTACGTTTAAGTTTTATATAAATAAAATAGATAAATATTTTAAAATTTTGAATAAAATAAATGATCAATTTTTTTATTTTGTAGGTTTTTTGTAATTGTAAAATTAAGAAACACTATTGTCTAAACAAACTATTAAATGAATGATTGATAAGTTACTAATTCATTTATTTATTTTATTCTAAAATTATTATTTAAGATATTTTATTTTTTTATTTGTATAATTAAGTGTGTTTTCAACCAAATATTAATAAAATATTTTGTGCAGATTTTAATATAACAAAAAAATTTAACCGTAAAAAATAAAGTACGAGGTATTTTTGTAATGATTCAATATTCTTTAATTGTTCACTAAATTTGACAATAGACTTAACAAATCCCTTAATATTAAATTCATTAATATTAGACATTCATTTTAAATGAGACAAATTTAGAAAATTAAGCAAAATTTTGCAATAAAATATAAAATCTATTTTAGGTTAATAACCTCTCAATTAAATTTAGATTTTAACTTAAATCCTACAAACAATGAAGAAACAATATTACTACAAGTAGAAGGTGAACAATCTCCTATTTTCATCCATAGATTAAAATGAAATGAAATAACAATACCAAATGAATTTCAAATTCTTGCATCTCATATACCTTCAGAAGATCTTAAAAATTTAGAAAGAAAAGAAATTAATAAAATAATAGAACAATACTTCTCATATTTAATTCATTTAGAATTAACAAGTTATTCATCTTCTATATCCTTTTTAAAAATCAATGAACCTTCTGTGCAATCATTTTTCGAAGAAAGTAGATTAATTAAAATTTAGAAAATCTAGTATGGTTTAATTATAGAACTCCAGTTCTAAAACATATCAATTCACTACCTTCATCACCAACAATATCTTAAATGAAAAATGATATAAATGTAATAATGAATCCTCGTATTAAAATTCAAATAAATAATCTAGAAGAATAATTTAATAGAATAGATAATGAAGACAAAAGAAATTGGTTTTAAAACTAGATTCATTTTGCAAAGAAAAAGTAAAAAAGAAATGGATTCTAGAAATGCATAATAGCAAAAGAAATTTTGAATTTCTTAGATAATTTTCATATTGGATAAATAAAATAAGAATAACAGACTCTTATGTTACAAAAAAAAGATATATGTACAAATAAAGTTATACAAAAAAAATAGAATTGAACAAAAAGCTCATAAATTGTATCCGAAAATGATCCATTCACGAGGGATCTTGTATAAATTGTATTACTACCGGTAATATATACTCTCTCTTCAACCAATTCAAATTGATACTTAAAAAAGAAAAATAAAAGCTCATAAGTTACTGTATCTGAAAATGATCCATTCAAATTGTTATATTATCTGCATTGATGAGCTTCACACAAGAGGTCTTGAATGTGGGGATGTCAATATATAAACTTCCCTAGGGTTTAGAAAATGACTAGTTGCAAGCTATCTTTAATGAGGACAGTTGTAACGTTCTTAGACACCATGAAACAAATGGCCGTAGTAGTGACTTATATTCGGCTTGGTTGTCGATGCACTCTCGAAGCAATCGGTGAAATAATTGCAACATTTTTCTATTGAGACTTTTGATGACAACCTTTGCACCAATGGTCTCTCTAGGACTAGTGGCGGATGTGTGTGGGGGCAAGGGGGCTGCCCCCCTCCCCCAAGTGTATTTTTATTATATATATATTTGTACATAATGGTAAAAAATAATGTTAAAACATATATATATATATATATAATGTGTTTGTTTTGAGTTTTGAATTTTAGGTCTATGTTTTAAATAGTAAAATTTAAATTTAAATAATTATTTGATGTGATACAAATAAATGTTGATATGATATTTTAAATATAAAATTATTTTTTTATAAATATAAAAATAAGAAACAAATAGGGTGTTTTTTTTTTTTTTGAAACCATACACATTTAAAATTATTATATTACACAAATTTTTTATTTGATTTATTTATTTAGGAGTAAAGAATAGTAAAAATATTTTTTTAAAAAAAACTCTAATCAAAGATGTTTGATGATTTTTTAAAAATTAAAATAATGTATTTTAAACAATATTACAAAACAATGTATAATTGTCTTCATTGTAGTTTATAATTCTGCAAGATTTTCAAAATATGATATCAAAATTGTTATCCGACAATAAATAGATTATAATAGGAGTACTTTTAAAATTTAAAAAATTAGTATCCCCTAACGAAAAATATTAGTTCCGCCACTATCTAGAACTTTCTATTGTTCCAAACCCTATATGTCTTGCAAATATGTTTGGACTTTGAAGTATCCTCCAATGTTTAGCCAAAAAACCAACAATAGTCTATCTTTTAACAACCCCAATGGCTCGTAAATAAGGGCCAATTATTTGAGCTTCATTGCTCACTAAACCAAGTGGCTGCATAAAACAAACCTACTTCGGAGAGGTAACACAACCAATTGAATTTCCATAGCACTTTAGTTTCAAAAGGAATAATATATTGCTTTAACTTCATACATGTATAGTACAATGATTAACAAAATTTTCCGATTGAAATGTAATGCACCATAGGATTGTTTAAGGTTTTGCTCCAATTAATATATAACAAGCTCTTGCCCTTTTATATCATCTTGTACTATGAATTAGCCGATGATCTTTTCAATTGCAATTACGTACAACTCAATATAAGGGTCTTTCAAGGGCTGATGGTATCAAAACTAGTTGAGAGGCCAACATTTGTTTGTACTAGTCAAGCGGCGTCTCCTACTATTTGGTCCAAATTTAAATTAATATTGATTGCTTCAAAGAAATGTTTCGAGTGCTTTCATTTTTCCAATAGTCTTAGCGATGAACTATCATAAAATTTTTCTTTCCCATAAGGCTTTGAAGCTTCTTGATATTTGAAGAGGCACGAGCTCCTTGACAAATTTAGTTTTGTTTGAGTCAACATTAATTCCTTTCTAATGAACTAAGAAACCAAAGTATTTCCAACTCGGACTTTGAATGTTCACTTCATAGGATTCATTTTGAGGTCATATTGTCTTATATGAATGAATGCGTTTCTTAGGTCCTTTAGGTGGTCATCAAATGCTCAAAATTTCACTACCATATCATTGAGACTAAAAAATATAACAATTCATTCAAGAATACCAATTTCCCCTAAACACTGAAAGGCCATCTAGTGTGCATCATTCTCAGCCAAATATATTTGGTTGTATCGGCTACATCGGCTATTAAAATTATATATTCATCATTCTGTATGGTGAGATTAAGGTTCCAAAATTTGATGCACATCTTCAACTTCCTCTTCTTCTTTATCAATAAGAAAATGTCGAAAATACACTCAAGGTAATGACATGTGCAAATAAAATTGGTCTTGAGCCACTTCTCGATTTCTTCATTAATCATAGGGATTATGTCAGGATTGAATCTCTTGGAAGGTTGTTTGTATAGGTATCAAGAGGGTTTGGTCAGAAGCCAATGTTCCATGGGGCTCCAGGCCAACCTTGGCATTTTGTCGTAGTTCCATATGAAATAATCACTGAATTCCCATATGAGGCCAATAAGGCATTCCTTATCCCTTTGATATAATAGTGTGGTGACCCAAGTCATCCTTAAGTTTGCATCATCTTTTAAATTGACGTCTTCCATCCGATCTTGTACCTCAAGATCTAGAACTATATATGGATTGGACTTGAAACTCCTCATCGTTGAATTCCTCTATTTCATGGAGGACTCTCTTATAGAGGTTGTAATTATCAACCATCAACCATAGCTACAAGAACATGCAAGATAAAAAAGGTTGCTCACTTATTATTATATTTATTATTATTTTTTATAGAGTTCTCAAATGCCATAGAAATGATGAGGTATCAAAAAACAACAAAAAACCATCGTGTGGTCAAAACTTTATGCTTGCATGATCTATGACCCGAATTTGAATAGAGATGGATAGAGTTTAAATCGATTGATGAAACGTGTCCATAATGTGCATATTCCTTTCCAAAAAATCACTTAAAAGAATTTTAGAGTTAAACGTGTTTGCTCTAGGGCAATTTAGAGGCGGGTGACCCATTGGTAAATTTCCAAGGGTGTGCGTGAGTGAGAACAAACGCGCTCAAAGAATTTGTGTTGACTTGTGAAGTCAGTTTACAATCCCAACACACCCGGTCTGTGTGGCTTTTGAGCCGGAGTGTTACATAATTGTACTAAAGTCCCTATCCTATGCAATAAAACTAGTGGCTTGAACACCCCTGAATAGTAGCTGCCCATGAAAAATCATCAGCAAAAATGAGTAAAAAATTAATATCTAGTCAGGAATACAACAAATCATAAAGCCTGTCAATGGCTCACTTTCCATCAACAACATTGGTATGCATACACCGACATTGCCCGTCTAACAACTTGCCTACACCTACATCATCACACTAACCCAACGGCTAGCCTACACTGAGATAGTCAATCATCAATACTTAGCCTACACCGACATCATTATTTCAATCACAATAGCTATCCTACACCGGCATCATTAATAGATGTATTTAGCCTACACCAAAATCTTCAGTTCAATCGTAACGGCTAGCCTACACCGGCATCACCAATCGTCAATACTTAGCCTATACCGGCGTCATCAAAACGACTACAATACTCAGCCTACACCGGCATCACCAATCGTCAATACTTAGCCTATACCGGCGTCATCAAAACGACTACAATACTCAGCCTACACCGGCATCACCAATCTTCAATAATTAGCCTACAATAGTGTATTCCAATCAACAACAATGGTCAGCCTACACCGACATCACCAATCATCGGTAATTAGCCTATACAGGCGTAATCAAAACAACAACAATGGTCAGCTTACACCAACATCACTAATAATCGGTAATTAGCCTACATCATCATCATTAAATCAACAACAATGGCTATCCTATACCGGCATCACCAATAATTAATAATTATCAATTAATCACATAATCACACCATGTATCAATTAATTTATATAACATGTCTCAGCCTAGGTATTCATCACACACGTCATTCTCAAATCAATTCATCTCATCCTAGTATAATAACCATGTTATCACATTCGAGCCGCATTGCAAATTCATTTCAATAACCACATCACCTATTCATTTAGGCAAAACCAAATAGTCCATCAGGTGTATGATATTTAGCCATTTACCTTAACCATAGATGCAGGTTGCCAAATGGAATCAAGGAACTCACACACGTCAGTCTCCGGGACCTCCTAAGAAATGCAATACAAATATGGAATCTTTTCAAAAAGCTTTTTGTTGCAATATTTGTCCATAAGAAAAAATGTGTTACAAAAGTAGTGTCCTGTCAGAGAGCTGTTTGTACGAAATTTGTCCGCAACCAAAAATTCAGCACAAATTTAATGCAAACGTAAAATATTTTTTGTACCGGCTATTGTATGTAAGTAAAAATCCGCTACAAAAGGTATCCATACCTCAAATAAGGATTTTGTCGCCACGTATAAATTCCAATTGTTAAAATATATGTTATGGATCAATCTGGTTCACAAATAATTTAAAACATAATTTTATTATAATTAATCTGAAATCCTTGTTCATACCTACAAAACGACATCAATCCAACAACATTCGTATTTATGTCAAAAATAGAATACTAGACGTCAATAGTGCTTTAAAGCATCTCCAAAAATCACCATGCCATACAGCATAACAACTAACTAACAACTTGCTAACACTTGATCCCCAAATCCAAAAGTAATACGTGAATAAATAGATATGGTATCAAACTACAGTACTATCCTAAGTTCGACTAACAAATACAGTTATGAACGATCAAGCTCATCGAGTGCAAAATCACAGAGGCAGCGAACCAATGCAATGTGTTTCCAATGATATAAGAATTATATCAGCAACTAAAGTAATTTAATTCACAAAAGAATAAACATTTTAAAAAAAATGTGTACATCCTTGTAAGTGCACTTGATGTTATCTCCGTCGAGTACCTCATCGAGGATCTTCGCTCCGGCATTACTTGGGAGAATAAGTGCGGTCTCCGGGACTGTAACTGCGGTAACAAATCCCTTGATAATGGCTAGGTATCACCTATATAAAAATATAAAATAAGAGCTAGTTATGATGAAATATGATATCTCTAAACAACATGGATGAATATTAGATTAAAAAATATTTATTTATAACTCAACTCATACATTATACTTACATATCACTTAATTGAAAAATTACTATTCACCACCTTGAACTCAAGGAAGATAGTTAGCTAAAATAAATGCAATATCACAAATAATTATTTAGTGGTTAATTATTGGTACCTATTGCATCATAAAAGCATACTACAAAAGCATCATTATATAGGTGGAAATAGAATGGATCGAAATAACTATCAGTCATCATGTGAATCAACGGAAGAAAATGGAGAATGAATAAATAACATATATTTGTATATTATAGAGAAAGTAAGCTACAAAAAGTAGTGAGTGTAATAAAAGAATGTTTTTAAAAAGATGCTTGCTGAATTTTATGATGTATGTCTTTGAACTGTCAAACTAGGTTAGACTAATCAAACATACCATCAACGATACAATGTGAATTTCAGGATGAATCAAACATGAAACATGTACATCTAGAATAGCATTGTAAAATCATAAGTGGAAACAATAATACTCGCTTAAAATGGAAATACATAAGAAAACCAAAACTAAGCCACACATTTTTTTTTTTATCGGTAATCAAATAATTACCATATAATAGAAAAAGTTCAGTGTGGTGGTTAAATTTATTGATAAATTACATCATCAATCGTCTAGTTGAAATAATATAATCTAAAATTATTAATTTTATTGAGTCTAATTCAATGAAATTATTGTATCTCATTCATATGGCTAGTGAATCCAAACTATATAAGTAACCCAATAAAATGTTAAATATAGAACCAAGAACCAAAATCTTTAAATCTGATGCCTTTTGAACCCAACATAATAGATATGTTTGCCTTAACCATCATGTTAGTATATATCACCACCAACATTCGCATGCATACACATAAATTTTCATCTTTGTTCCAGTAACAACGACTAGAGTAAGTACAAATTTGCTCATAAAGGTATTTCTTAGTCATGCAATAATAAAACTAACCTTAGATCTCTCCTAATGTTGTGAAAATGAAAGTTTTGGATAATGAGGGTTGCATTGAGGTAGTCTGCAAAAGCTACAACATTGCATATCTAGAAACATCAAAATCAGTGAGATAGTGCATTTCCATAACTCCCAAACATAAAAAATCAAAATTTTAACATGATACATAAACATTGTTATCCACGAAAATATACCGATGTACTCTGCAGATTTAAACCACCATTAGCCTCAATAAATATATATTCATTTGACTCAGGTAAACCTGCAATAATAAGGTATATTTTGTTCTAGGGCATGTTTCACACAACAAATCAATGCCGATCAAATGGCGAAATATTAAAATTCTTTAGTATGCCCTGACGGAAGTAACTGAACACCAAAGGACATCTCAAACATGTAGATTATGTCTTTAACTGAGCTAAGCTTTTTCCCTATCACCTTCATCATAACTACGCTTTCAAAAGCAACACGCATGAAGTTGATGAAATTCTCATGTTTCTATTAGTTTAAGTCAGTCAATACACCAACATCAACTCCGACTATAAATTGCTGACAACCTCAATTTCTAAGAATAAAATTGCAAACATCACATCTTAGTGATGTCTGACATATCTAATATTCCATTTATGCTCTTGGACACTTCATAATAAGTTCTAATTAAAAATTATGAATTTCATTTAATTGTTTCTATTGAATTCTGAATAATCATGGATAACTGCAAGCATGTCATCTTAACTCAAAAATGATAAAAATCTAGTGCTTCATCATATGCTTATACAGTCTACAATACAAGAGTGTATTTTGGAACTCCATGATGGGGCCATTCGGGGTACTGAACACGCAAAACAGACAATGGTGGTTCTTCTCACTGCAAAGCAAGGAAAACTTGGTTATTTAAGAGTCTTGTTACAAGAAAATAAACCAAAACCCTTTTTTAATCAAGATCCAAGAAATTCTTGATAGGAGCACCAGCTGTAACAATCAATCTCAAATGAATGAACAAGTAAAGGACATTTGCCTCACCTCTTTATATTTCACTTCTAAGCATCGGTATATCAATGAATTATTTGATGCATGCATCCACTTGGTGGTGATACATATGTTAGCAAACTCTCTTGGTCTATCCTCAGCTTTGAAATAATCAACACACTTCACTGTCTGCACTCAAAATTGTTATAAAGAAACTAATTATAATACAATATCATATCAAATAGAAATTTTAAATGCAAAACATCAAATAGCACAACAATATATCCTAGACTTATTCACCTATGTAAATGTCATAAATATTATTAGATCACGATAGAAATATAATATTCATGCATGGACTCAAAAAAGTTAAATTTGTTGGAGTAAATTCATAACAAACATATGAATGCTCAAATTGTGCAAAAATTTAATCAAACCAATTAATTGTGTAAATAAGCTTTTATTTATCTATGAACTCTCTTTTCTCTTCAACCCAATTGTACTAGTTTTGGAACTTTCAGATACTGTCAAATCAATTAAATGCTATACAAGAGTGTATTATCATTCTCCTAAACATCAAACAACCAAGTGGATAGAGAATGAACAACAAAGTGAAGAGAACCAAAACTATCCATTGTTTAAGCATTAGATGTCAATCTATTGATATGTTAAACATTCCTAACATTAGTTAATTTTATCAAAGCTAAGTAAACGTAAATATTTCCAAAATATAATTGTATATACATATATTGGATTGAAGAGAGAAAATATAAAAAATCAATAAAAGCTATCAACTAATTCCATTGCAACATTTACAGATAATAACAAGCCATGAGATAAAAGAAAGATATTGAAAATTGATGTCTCTATTTTATACAAAAACCAATGCTAATGCCAATAAAATTGAAATATGTCCACCATTATAGCATGGATAAATGTAAGAGAACCCTTGGCAATCAAATAGAAATTGCAAGTCATTTTTTCTCAACTATAAAGCATTTAATATATCTATGGGAATATGCATCTCGATAAGTAGTAGTTAATGATAATATATTGAAGACAACCTTGAACCCCAAAACAGAATAAAACCACAACAATTCAGTCACATACTTAACATTCAGTAGCAAAGTTAATTATTAACCCCTATATGCATAGGTTGTATCCGATTGTTTGATATTTTTTGTAGCAGTGAGACAATGATAGAGGACAATGACACATGGAAAGGGTTTCTCTCCAACTTACCTTTACAATCCGTGCAAATTGTAGCTGTAAATAAATTTCCCAACTAAGGAAAATTTATAATTAGCAGCAAGTTCCAAATTGTAATAGACTAGAAGGCAATAGCTAAACAATTATTACATCTAGTAAAAGTGTAGAAAATAACCGACTCAAATAATCAATGAAAGACTTAGAAGCAGTTGAGGTATTTTGACGAGCAGTTGGCGGACGAGCGTGAATTGGAAGCCACTGCATCAGCCAAAGAGGGACACGGGGAAGACGAACCAAGATCCATGGGACCCAACCTCAATCACAGGACACCAACCTCATTCAACAAGCCACCTCAACCAAGCCAGGACAACCCACAAGAATTATATACATATACCAAAGCACCGAAACACCACAATACTTGCAAAAACGATGGGGGAGACCAGACGGGGAAAGGGAGACCCAAAAACCTGACAACAGGTGGACGAAAAACAAATATTGCGCAGCCAAGATGTGAATCACTTGACTTCTAGGGAGAGACCGAAGCGAGGCGACACAAAAAAGTACCCAAAGAAACATAAGGGCGAGCCTAGGATTATCTTTCGGATTGACAACAGCCAGCCATCGCCGGTGGAACCGTGGCCGACAACGAAGCTATTGTTTGATGACGGTTAAGGAGGGATGGTAATCGATTTGGGGATAAATGAACATCGAATTATAAACAATGTTCAGATGTTGTGTGTATATCCGATTTGTGAAAGTGTTATCACACCTTTACATATTTCTTTTTATTTTTTTAAAAATTTTTATAATAATTTTATTTAGATGTATATATATATCATATATAAATATTATATTTATTCTTTTGTTACGGTTTGACCAACATAATAAATATATTTAGGATGATATTCGTTATAATTGTATTTGGTACAAAGAAATAAGCGAAAAAAATAAAAATAAAAGTTGACCAAATATAATTTTTTGTCACGACAATTTTTGTAACAAAAACCACTTTTTGCTACAAATTTATTATTACGGACCATAAAATTGCTACAAATAGATTGTTTTTTGGCAGTGGTTCTTTTCATCGAAGAAGAGGAGTTGGGTATCGTTGTCTTAGGGTCGTGTTGGGTATCGTTATCTCAGGTCGTGTTGGGTCTCCAAATGCCAAACTAAGGGCCCGTTTGGATTGATTTAAAAAATAAGCATAAGTCAAAAGTAAAATCAAAAGAAGAAGCCAAAAGTACTTCAATTTTGTGTTTGGATAAATGATTATAAAAATAGTTTTTTTAAAAAAACTGTTTGAACGTTATAGAGTTGAGAGTGCTTTTAAACCTTTAAAATTACTCAAAAAGACATGTTATTAATATAATAATGTTTCTATAAAAATTTCATAATTTATTTTAAGATTTTAAACTATAGTATAAAAAATATATTTTTTAAATTTGATTATTTATATTTTAAAATTTAATTTTAAGGATAATATACCAATTAAAAATAAAATTACAATATAATAGTATTAAATTATTTGTATTTTATATTGATTTTAAAATTTTATAAATTATATTAATAAATTTAGTATAATTAAAAAATTTATATACTTCTATTTAAATTTTGTATCTCAAATTTAAATTTTAATCTAAATATAATATATAAATTAAAAATAATACTTAATTATATTTTTAATTTTTATTAAAATATAATACATAAATTAATTATTTTATATTATATTATATTATAGTATTTATTATTATTATTATTATTATTATTATTATTATTATTATTATTATTATTATTATTATTAAAAAAGATAAAACAATCATTTTAATTGAAAAATGTTTCTTCTGTCTTATTTCAAAAGCTACTCTAATGTGATTATGAAAAAAGCTTTCTTCAGCTTAAAAAACTACTTCTACTTTTAGACAGAAGTAAATGCAAACATATACAAACTGTTTTTTTAGAAATAGAAGCCAAAAACTCCGCCATAAGCCAATTCAAACGGGGTTGACAAATTTCTAAGCCTCCGACGAGTCCATCATAGGGAAAAGAGAGTAAATATTTTGAGTTATGGAATTGAGTTGTTGAAGGGGAAGAGGACATTTTTGTCGTCGTCATCACTGTTTTGGCCTATGGAAATGCGAGAGTTAAAACCGTGAATCACATTAGGAAGAAGTAGGGCAGAAGTTAGTCATTAGTTTATATGTTTTGGATTTGGATCTTAATTTCTTGAATCAATTAAAATCTCATTTTTCTAAATCAAATTTTCATGTCGTTGCCGCCGATGGTCCACGTCATAGGCCAGATCAACTCTGACAACGTCCACATCTGCAGCGGCAGTTCCACATAGGCGCACGTGCCTCTCACAATAAATTTTTGGCGCCAAAGGATAAGAATAAGATCTTGTGTTCACATATTGTCTTAAATTGCAAAAATAAAAAACTATGTCTAAAAGTAATAATTTAACATACATACAGAGCAAATCTCAATTTTCCCTAAAAACTATAAAAAAATTTTGTGTAACAGATAAAGTGGCTGCATCCGAATGACATCTTTATATAAATTCATCTATGGAAAATGATATTGATGGCTTTGATGTATTAAATTGGTGGAAAGTTCAATAAAGTTTTCCAACACTTTTGGCTATTAATCGTGATATTTTAACATCATAACTGTCTTATGTTGCATCCGAAAGTACTTTTTCTTGAGGCGAAAAAACTGTAATAGCATTACCAAAGAGCTCATGCTTGAGTCAACACAGTTTGAAAATGTGCATTGAATACAAGAATTGGCTTGATGGAGAATGTCGAAATAAAACACTAGCTCGAAAACAAAAAGTGAAAAATGTCTTAGAAGACGGTGGCTCAGAAGAAGATAAAGAGGGATATTAAACTAAAGTCCAACTTGAAACAAATACAATAAATGCACAAGGATATGAATACGATTTTACAAAATATTATTATTCTATGAGAACTATATCCTATGAGAACTATACATACAACTATACGTACGATAAACATAATTAATGAGCAATGATAATTATCTTACTATCGACCAATCCTTCATCCGGAATAAAAATATAATTTTAACTATGTTATTTATTTTTTAATTTTTCATAGATTTTTTTTGGTATTATTGTAATGTAATTTTCTACACAATTTTTTATCAAATAAATTTTGATGTATTAATTTAAATATTTTATATTTTTATTCCATTTAAATATATTATTTTTATTTACATAATCATTAAATTAATTATTTAAATATAAAATCTAAATATTAAATAATATTTATTTTATGTTGTTTTGTGTCAATATCATCCGTACTTGCTATTATTTTGGAATGAAACAAAGTTATTCCTGTTATGACACGTAGTATCTATATAATGCATTATGTAGACCCTACACAATGTATACATCGTTGTCCTCGTGGATGCATTTATGTCCAAAGAAAAGTCAATCATGTATGACTATAAATACGTATGCTTAAGGTCAAACCCTTGTAGTTCAAGTGGTGAGACATTCCTCGAAATTCCTGCTGAGAGTGTGAGTGTAAAAAAAAAAAATGTATGCTTAAGCCATGAATAATCATAAGACAAATTAGAGATTTAGAGAGTTACAATCATTGTCGTACGACTAGGAACTATTGCTGTCTATTTATAAGCACCCACCAGATACCCTTCAGTTTCACCAAGTCACCTCCGTAATCAAAGTCTGCATAGCCAACCAGAACATCACCATGGCTTTTATCATCATATATCATACGCTCTTTTCAAATATCGCAAGATCCACTTTACAGCTCCCCCAGTGAGCTTTACCCGGATTAGTCATAAACCTGCTCACCACACTAACCGCTAATGCATAAGCCATAGAATCTATGTCACATGTATTGACATATCCTGCAAACCTAACTGGTTTCTGAATATTTCTCTTTCTCTTTCTAGCTGCTATGGAATCTTCAACCCAGTACCAGTGTCATCAGCTTCCTCCTCAACCGGCTTTCGTTGAGGTTTTGACTGATTTGGTTGATCGAATTGATTAATAGTATTATCCTGCTGCTCTTCCTCTAACGCAACTCTGTCAGGAGTCTCAAACTCCACCTTCTGGTCAGCACCACAATCTTTTGTACCTGCAAAACTTTCACAACTTCTACTCTGATCAAGCATAGTAGATTCATCAAATGTTACATCTCTGCTAATAAGAAATTTACCAGGATTTTTACCTTCTGTACACCATAGTCGATAACCTTTTAACTCTTATTGCATACCATATAAATATGCATTTTACCGCCCTCGGCTCCAGCTTACCATAATTCACATGAGCATATGCAAGGTATTCAAATATTCTTAGATTAGAGTAGTCTAAGGGTTTACCAGACCATACCTCTTGAGGAGTCTTTAAGTCAATTGCAGTTGATGGAGATCTATTAACCAGATAGCTAGCAGTGTTAACTGCTTTAGCCCAGAATTGCTTAGATAAACCAGCAAATATGCACATACACCTTGCACATGCCTTGAGGGTTTGGTTCATTCGCTCTGCAACCCCATTTTGCTGTAGTGTGTGTCGTACAGTGTGGTGTCTTACTATACCTTCTTTCTTGCAGAAATCATCAAATGGAGCGTTGCAGAACTCCAACCTATTATCAATTCTTAGAGTCTTGACCTGTTTACCCGTCTATTTTTTAACCATGGTATTCCACTCCTTAAACTTCTCAAACACTTCATATTTAGTCTTCAGAAAGTACAACCAGACTTTTCTTGAATAATCATCTATAAAAGTGACAAAGTAAGAACAATCGTCTGCGATTTCACCGGAGATGGACCATATAAATCTAAATAAACATATTCTAGAATTTCTTTGAAGTCTGATGATCGGTACTAAACCTCACCCTGAGTTGCTTTCCTTTTACACAAGCCTCACATAATTAAATTTTACCTGTCACATCTCCACCAAATAAACCCTGTTTACTCAGCACAGACAATCCATGCTCACTCATGTGACCCAATCAACGGTGCCACAAATTTGTCCTGTTATCATGTTTATCCAAGGACTGGGATACCACCGCCGTTCCCATCACTGAACTGCCCTGCAGAAAATAAATTCCATGCTGTAGTTTTCCCTTCATCATTACTAGAGCACATTTCAGAACTTTCACCCACTTACTTTCACCATGATATTTTAAACCATTTTTGGCTAAAGTGCCAAAAGAAATCAAATTCTTTCTGAGTTCAGGAACACACCAGCAGTCTAATTTCCTGACACTACCGTCATGTAATTTTATATGCACTATCCCGCTCCCCTTTATGGCTAGAACCCTATCACCTAAGTTCACCGTTCCATTCCACTCTTTGAAAGAAGTGAGTAGATCACGAGAGAACGTCATATGGTGAAAAACACCGGTATCCATAATCCATGTATCAGTAGTACTAGCTGTACACACTGTCAGAACTTCACCAAGATCCCCATCATCAGAATTGTCTTGTACCACAGCAGCATTGCTATTGTTACTAGACTCAACTTTTGTATTTCCCTTATTCTGTGGACGATCCCTCTTAATGTGCCTCTTCTCCTTACAAAGACAACATTTAACTTTGCTAGAGGATTTTGATTTTGAACGCGGCATCCCATTTCCGTTACCCCTCTCTTGTGGTCTTCCCCTATCTGCAAACAGACCTGAACCAGAACCCGCTTCAAGAGAAACCTTTCTTTTCAAGTCTTTGGACATAATAACATCTTTCACATCATTAACAAAAATTGTAGTTCTACCATATAATATAATATCTACAAAATTCTCATATAATCTAGGTAGTTAACAAAGTAAAATTAGGGTTTGATCTTCATCATCTTTTTTAACCTCAACCCTTTGAAGATCAAGAATATTATGGTTAAAGGTATCAAGATGATCTTTTACCTGAGTACTTTCGGACATCCGGAGGGTGTAAAGTCGTTGCTTCTGATATAGCCTGTTCGTGAGAGAGTTGTTCTGGTACTTCTCACACAGTTTATCCCATAACCCAGAAGTCGTCGTCTGATCTATAACCTCCCGTAACACCTCATCAGTAACTGACAAAAAGATCGCGGAAGAGCATTTGCCAAAATCTCCTTATTCATCTCCTTCTTCGGGTCATTAGGAAACTTGTCTTCTCCCTTTAACGCAGCCACACATCCCTCTTGAAACAAAAGTGCCCTCATCTTAACCTTCCAGAGCGTTAAGTCATTGGACCCATTAAACTTCTCAAGATCAAATTTATACGATGACATCTTCAATCAATTAGATATGGCTCTGATACCACTTGTAATGAGAAAAAATGAGAAAAAAGCAACTAAAGAAAATAGGGGTTTTACGTGGTTCGATGACGGTGTATCAACCTACGTTAATGGGCAGGAACCAAAAAGATTTTATTATACTGATTCAGAGAGTTACAATCATTGTCGTACGATTAGGAACCGTAGCTGTCTATTTATAAGCACCCCAAAACACCTTAAGTCTATCTTTTATTAATTAAGATGGGCCCAAAAGGAACCACGGAAATTGAAACAGTCTTTTCGCTTTGGTTCGGGGTCGGTGGACCGCTAAATCCAAGTCACATTTCAATAGTAATTCATATACATATAATATTATACTCCCTCCATCTCTTAACTATCTATCTATTTTTCTATTTTGGTTAGTCCCAAAATAAAATATCAATTTTTTTTCAGTGTTCCTAATACCTAACTACTATTAAAATTACCCTTAAACTTACACTATATTACAAATATACCACTATAATAATATTTTACCTTAAAGAAATTTTATTATTTTTTACCTATATTCTTACTATAGTCTAATATAATATTAATATTCCTAAATATTCGTAAAAAAAAATTGAGAAATAAATATAAGATGAAGTAAGTACATATAATAATATACATTACCCACAACATACACACGAATCATATAGATAATATACAAGTACCAATATATTATACTCCCTCCGTCCCATATACCGTGTTTGCTACACTGTAGACACGGTATTTTAGAAGGCATGTAATTAGTAGATAATTAAGAATGTATTAGTGAAAATAATTATTTTATAATATAAATAATTATAAATTAAGATTAAGATAACTAATTAGTTTAATTAAAATTAAAAAAATAAATTAAAAAATTTAAAATAAGATTAAAGTGTGTAATCATTTTCAAAAAAAAAAATGACATGGAATGTGGGACGAACAGAAACGGCAACGTGAACATGGTACGTGTGACGGAGAGAATATTTATTATATTAACAATTCCTACTAATTTTTTATTATATATATTATATTTTTATTTTAAATAAATTTATTATTTTTATATACATAATAATAAAATAATTATTTGAATATGAATTTTTAATATTAAGTAATATATTAAAATAAAATGAATATTTTAAGTAATTATATATAGAATAATTTTTAAAGATATATTAAAATTTATTTTGAAATAATATATTAAATAAATACAAAAATATTTAAACATAACAACAATAATAATAATGATAATAATAAATACATTGTAATTATTTGGGCTGGTCCTGTTCGAAGAGGTTCGAACCACCGTAATAGCTATTTACGACCACATTAGATAATATTATCTCTGTTCTATCTATCGAATTAGTCTCGTTTCCATTTAAAGTAATAATTAACTATTAATAATTTCAATTAAAATTTAACTATATTTTATAACTACTAACACTTGTACACCTATGATTTATTTGATAGTTAAATTTAAATTTTAAATAATAAAATTATAATTTAAATAATTATTTGTATATAAGTAGATATTAATGTGATATTTGACTTTTAAATTAATTTTTAATGTAATAAACAAATAGTAAATAATTAATTTGATATTTTGGAAAGGAAAGTTTAGTGAATAGTAAAATTTGAATTTTATTTTTTAAAAAAATTAAAATAATTACATATTTGAATTTTAAATTTTAATTAATTTTGACAATTTTTTGACATAATATAAATATATGTTACCATAATGTTAAATGTTAATGTCAATTTATTGTAAATTAAAAAAAAAATTGATTTTATATTTTATGTTTTAAGTAAACTTTAAATTAAATTTTTTTTTTCAGAAAATAAAAATAAAAAACATACCGACTCATCTTTTTGTTTGAGAGTTTGGATTTTGAATTGGGATTTAAATAGTAAAAATTTTGAATTTAAATAATTATATAATATAATTTAAATAGACGTTGATGTGATGTTTTGAATATAAATTAAATTTTAGTAATATAAAAAATAAAAAATAAATGTTTGATTTAATTTTTTGAGAGAAAAAAAAATTGATGAATAGTAAATTGGTAGGAAATCTCATAAACAAACACACCCTTCTCAATCAATATTTTTTGGAGTAAATTTATTGGAAAATTTTATGTAAAATATTGCACATTTATCTTTTTATTTATTATTATTATTATTATTTTTGGCCCTTCCTCTCATTCTTCTTTTGCCCCTACCGAGACATTTGGCCTTAGAAGATATTTGAAGTTTTAGATCCTTAGAAAAATTATAAAAAAATTTGTATTTATTTTTATAATTATATTACTTGTATTATTTTATAATTGGTATAATATTTTTTGAAAATTAATTTTAAATAAAAATTATTTCAAATAAATAAAATGATAAATATTAAATCAAACAAATTAATTAAATAATACAATATTTTTTAAACTGTATGCAAAAAAAGGAATATGACTAATCCGTGGAACGGTGAGAGTACATATATTTTTATGATGCAGCCCAGATCTATTATAATACTATTTGTAAGCAATTCTGGGCCGGTCATGGCCGATTCGGCACAACTTGAAATGTGTGTGAATCCGGCACCGCTCATCACCGGCACGCTATGTCACGTGCCGGGTTACGAAAGAGCAGGAAAGCCAGCGTATTCCATTTCGAGTCTTTTGCAATAGCAGGTGGATCGTACACGTGTCAATGTCTTATTGGGGAGACGTTCACTTTCCTTCAAACGCGTGTTATATATAACAGGCACCTCTCTCTCTCACCAATCCTCCGTTCCCTACAGTCAACTGCCATCTCCAGAGGAGAAGTTCATTTTGAAATCTGGTACGCTACTATAATCTATCTATTTTGACTTCGGTTGTTGCTATATTCTTTTAGCGTTGTACCCGATTTTGTTAGTATAGCAGGGGTTTGGATTAGGAGTAGAGTTAAGTTTAGGGTTAGATCTCTAGATTTGAAAGGTTTTTGAATTATTTTCTGGCATTGTTTTCTGATTGTGGCATTTAATCGGGATCGTGTGTTTGAGTGGCAGATCTGGCGATTTTATATTTGATTTATGATTGACTGTTCGTTGGAATCTGATTTTTGGTGTGTGGGTTTGGATTCGTGTTTGTTAAGTTGGTGGAGACTGGAGATTGAAAGAGAGTATAATAAAGTTCCTTCGATAAGTTGGTTTTATTTGAACTGATTTATCTACCATAGATTGCTGGAGAAGTGGTGGTGAAGTTGCCGGAAAGATAATTAATTGATTAGGATTGTGTTTCTGAGTTTTGAGCCTGGTGTCTGTTTTGGGTTCTTTCTCTTCGTGCGCTTTGGTTAGTGTGTAGAATCGTATGATTTTGATTCCGGGTACTGTCTTTGTTATGGTGAAAGTGAACCTTGCGAAGCTTACATTTAGTGTTTTGTTTGTATTCTACTATTAGATTAGATATGAAGCTTGTGGTTTTGACTTGGATCTGATTTGTATTGTTGAATCTACTGTATACACGCTTGTCTTGTTTATACTTGTGTTCTACTACTGTTAGATATGAAGTCTGGTTTTGCATTGTGCTGTTTTCCATCTATTTAAAAAAATCAGTATACATGCTTAAGTATGAGGTTACTGTATAAGTTGCAGGTTCAAGATACTATTTCGAAGTTGAAAGATGTCTCGTGAAGATAATGTATACATGGCCAAGTTGGCCGAACAGGCTGAGCGGTACGAGGAAATGGTTGAATTTATGGAGAAGGTTGCCAAGAATCTTGGTGGTGATGAGCTCACTGTAGAGGAAAGGAACCTTCTCTCAGTGGCTTACAAGAATGTGATTGGTGCTCGGAGGGCTTCATGGAGAATCATCTCTTCCATTGAGCAGAAGGAAGAGAGTCGCGGGAATGAAAATCATGTGGATATCATCCAGGGATACCGTGGTAAGATTGAGGCTGAGCTCAGCAAGATCTGTGATGGAATTTTAAGCCTTCTCGAGAGCCATCTTGTTCCATCGGCTTCGTCCTCTGAGTCCAAGGTCTTTTACTTGAAGATGAAGGGCGACTATCATAGGTATTTGGCTGAGTTTAAGACCGGAGCTGAAAGAAAGGAAGCAGCTGAGAGCACTTTGCTGGCTTACAAGTCAGCTCAGGTAAAATTCACTTATTGGTCGTTGTTTTATTATTGTTTGTTCTGAAATAAATTTTTCTTCTATCTATCTTATGCAGGATATAGCAGTGGCTGAGTTGGCCCCAACCCACCCCATCAGGCTGGGACTTGCACTGAATTTCTCTGTTTTCTATTATGAGATACTCAACTCCCCAGATCGTGCTTGCAACCTTGCAAAACAGGTATGTTCTTATGATTGATGGATCGATCATTCAGTGCAACGCCCAGTTTAATTGTTTAATAACCATTATTACTTTTTCGCGTTTTTGAGATCAACATCCCTTTTGGGAGTCAATCAAGAATCCATCTGAGATATTACTTTCATTTGATTTTGAGATATCATGGTGTTGATTGATGAGTGGGATGGGATTTACTCGGTTTTTGCAGGCTTTTGATGAGGCAATTTCGGAGCTTGATACATTAGGTGAGGAATCATACAAGGATAGCACATTGATCATGCAACTCCTCCGGGACAACTTGACTCTCTGGACTTCTGATATAGCGGTATGTACATACGCACTGATAACAAACCAAAAACAAAACCAAACAATAATAATAATAATAATAATAATAATAATACATGTAGAAATTAGAGAACTCGAAGCCTTTTTCTGACATGTATGTATGTGTATGTCTGTGAGTGATATCAGGACGATGGTGGGGATGAGATCAAGGAAAGCTCGAAAGGCGATGGAGGACAGCAGTGATGAAGCTAAGGTACAGTAGAGTGTATCAATGTCAACATGAAGATGAACATGGTGTGGTGATATGATATGAAGTGGGTTTTGTTGTGTTAGTATAGAAACGAAAAGTGCTTGCTTGTGTGGGTGGGTGGGTGAGGAGGAGATGTGATGTGATCGGTAGACTTAATGGATGGATTGAGTTATGCAGAAAGAAACAAAGACTTGTGGTCCGGTCCAAAACCCCCTTCCCCTTCCCCTCAAGTATTTATTATTCTTATTGTGCTCTGCTCTGCTCTTTATGTTTATGTTGCGAATGAATGAATTAATGTATTATTTGACATTTATTATAATTGCTTCTTTATTCCATGTTGGTTGGTTGGTTAGTTTTATAGTTTACCAATATTTTTCCCTCTCTGGATGCTATTGCTATGGCCGAGATAGAACGTGGGCTAAGACGAAGATGAAATGTATTTGTTGTGATTAGAAGAACGAACATTGGAATTATTCTAAAGTCGATGATAGGGGCTTCTCTCTCTTTTTTTTTTTTTTTTTTTTTTTGTTTAATTCTAGTCAAACAAAATTTATTATATACAATATTTTTGCTTCAAAGCAATAAGAGTTATATTTTCTAGTTTTGACCATTTATCTTATGCTCCTTTCGTCGTGCAAATGTATAATGGTTTTAATAAAAATGAGTAATAATTATTACTTTTTTTTCTTTTATAGTAAAAAAAGTACAAAATGTAATAATTTTTTACTTAAAAATGAAATGAAAATATTTTTTAATGACAATTAAAAAAAAATGAATATAAATTTGAATGAGAGACAGAGGAAAAAATATATTTTTTTATTAACTAGTTATTATATATATACAAATAGTCGTCCAATTATATTTAGTTACTATTGTACAAGAAATCAATGCAATGTATCGCTCATTAATTTGACACAATAATGGTCAATTAGTGACCCTGTGTTTAGAGCAATCCTAGTAGCTTTTTCTTAAACAAAGTCTTTGAAATATGATGCGTCAAAGAATTGCTAATTCAAAATTGCCGAAAATTTAAAAAATACTACAGTGGCTTTTAATTCGATTCAACTTTCAGGTGAGAGAAAAAAAAGAGAAAAGATGAGAAGAAGAAAGAGGAAAGAGAAAGAGGGTGGCAGACAAAAATAGGACAGAGAAAAAAAGAAATAAAATGAAAAGAGAAAGAAAGAGATGAGATGTGATAGCTAATTTCAAGTCTTTCAATTTTTTCACTTCTAGAGAAAAGCCATTGTATGAACATTTTATAAAAGAATTTTCTTTCTTTTTAATATTCAAGTCTTCTAGTAAACTACTCCAGACGCTCTTAGATAATCCATTTGCCCATAATAGACATAGATTGTGGAATGAAAAATTATCCATTCCTCTCTCTACCTCGTCTCGCTCTTTCCCTTTAATATATCTACTTATTTATTCATATATATATATATATATACCATATACATATATACAAATAGTGATTAAAAATAGGAATAATTATATTCCTATTTGTTATTTTTATATTAATATTTATAATACGTTATCAGTACGATCAGTTTTTTTGGTATAGTAGGTATATTTTAATATTATTATCACTACTAAAATTGCAAAACAAGAATTTGTCTCATTTATCATTTCTGGCAAAAATTATCTATCATGGGCCATGGATGTTGAAATGCATTTAGAATCGATGGGCCTAGGTGAAACGATTGTAAGAGGCAATAATGCCACCAATCAAACCAGAGCAAATGCAATGATATTCATCCGACATCATATCGATGAAAGGTTGATTGTATTGCCAAAAGCCCGCAACGAATGACATAATTTGAGGTTGCAAGACCTTGGAATCAGTTACTGAATATAATTCTGTCATGTCGGTTCACTTTGCAGTTGAACCTATGCGGCGAGAATATTAATGATAGTGACATTATGGAGAAAACATTATCTACATTTCATACCTCGAACTTGATTTTACAACAACAATATCGAGAGAGAGGCTTCAAAATATATTCTGATCTCATTGCCCGTCTTTTGTTGGCAGAACAAAACAATGAAATGTTGTTAAAAAATCATGCATCCAGGCCAACAGGTTCCAGCCCATTATCTAAAGTGAATGCAGTATAGTATGCAAATTTAGATTGTGGAAACAATAAAGACGGGAGATATGGAAGAGGCCAACGACGCAACCATCCTTAGCCTCGTCGAAATAATGGAAATAAACTATACAAGCCCATGAAGTGGCAGAATGACGAGCAAAAATGAAATTATGAAGATAAATGTCACATGTGCGACACAAAGGGACACTGATCGTGCGTCTGTAGAACGCCTAAGCACTTGGCTGATTTGTACCTTGCCTCGCTGATAGGGAAAAGTACGTCTGCTGACGTAAATATCTCTGAACAGAATAATGATGATACATATGATGATATCCTGAAAAACACGTCTGCTGACATAAATATCGTTGAACAGAATAATGATGACACATTTGATGATTTCCTACAACGACCTTATGCATCTTGATAAAGTAGACTTTCTTAAGCACACTGAAGGTGCCAAGTGATTATGTAGTTTATTGCTTTATTACTTTTTGTAATAACTCTCTTTCTAGATCATTTTTTATTTTTCATCGGCTAAATAAATATATTGTCTTTTTGTTTATTTTATTCTAAAAATAATATGGATGTCATATGTTGAAATACATATTATAAAGAGAAACAATATTTTCATAATTGATAGTGCGACTATTGATAACTAAAATTTGTTGAAACGTAATTTGTATGTTTTTCACAGGGAATTTATATTCGAAAATCAATGAGTGAATGATTATAGAAAGCGGTCGGATATAGTAAAAGATTGTGGTTGTAAACCTTGAGTAGTTACACAATTATTTATACTCTTTTTACTGGGGATTTTTCAGGTCGAAAATAGGGATTTTAAGTCATGAAATTCAAATCAAGTGTACATTTTGAGAAAACGGTGAAAAATGCAGTAAAGGACCCGCTCTGCAGCGGATCCAAATTTTATTATATGGAAAACGGTAAATAAAAGCGGTAAAAGTGAGCGGAGGCAAGCGGAGCAGAGACGAGCAGTGAAGTGCCAACGGTAATCGAGTGATCGGGACATGAGCGGATGGCACAATGTATATATGTATACATATGTAAGAGGTGGAGAGTGAGGGATAGATGTTGTGTCTGACTTGTGCGTTACTTAATGGCTAGGTTTTCATAGATGTAATGAGCGAGCGGTGTAACTGTTGTAACAGAGGTATATGTATAATACGGAAGTGGGGGAAGGAGATAATGTAAATATATAAACTGAATTTTAAAGAATTCTTATCACTGGAATTTGACTTTAAGGGATTTACAACAAGACTTCAATGACACCCAGAATTGAGATATTATAAGAAAGAAACCCTACTATCACTACGGAGTTTCTGTGACCTAATAGACCACCTTCTATGCCCAGTGAATTATCCCAACTTCTGCCTCATTAGTGGCTTTACCTTCTATTACCTCTTTTTAATCAAAATTGAATTCAAAACAGTAGTTAAGCAGGTCGACAAGGCTCCCGCGTATTTAGCTACATTGAACTACCTTGAAAACGCTTTTGGCAAACGAAAAGGCTTAGGTAATCAATTCTTCTCGTGCTCTAAACCAGTGAATTGAAGTTCTTTAAATTCAAAGTTTATATAAGTATGAAGAAAATGTGAAAGAAATAGAGATGAAGAACTGAATGATATTTCATTATTTACTAATAAAACTGGAAATGCTAGTTCTACAAAGCTGTAATTGAAAGCGGTAAGCTACTCTAGGTAAACGGTATAGTCTTGGCCAAGGGAGAAGGGAAATCCCTACTCCCTTGGTCATTCCTGTGGAGAACTTCCTTACAGGATTGGAGCTCTCGAAAAACAGGAAGATAACTAGAATGCGTAGGAAATTAATCGCTAAAATACTCCAATCGAAGTATATTTACATATAGATATCTGACCCTATTTATAGTAGGTGAAAAGGAACGGTTGCAAGCAGTTATAAGGCAGTTCCAACCGCTAGGTAGTTAGGCAGTTGGTGGCAGTTATTCTGTTGAAGCAGTTGCTGGCCGTAACTCCTAGGGTGCCTGCTTCGCTTGCATAGGATGGTAAGGGCTCAAATCTTCCTCGCTTGCCGAAGGACTGGAGGGCATCAGCGCAGCTAGGTTTGCTTGTGCTGGCTGGAAATGGAATGGCTATTCCGCTGCAGTTGAAACACTTAGTCAATATCTGCTGTCATTCTGCAGCGGTGAGCGTCTGGGCCGTCGCTTGCAAGCTGGAGAGACTGTGCTTGCGAGCGGTGGAAGCTACCGCTTGCCTCTCTTGCCTTAGTCTTTTCCGAGTGATATAATTGTCGCTTGCAAGCGGAAGTGGCTGCCGCTTTTGGTATCTGCCTTAGCTTTTCTGGCACCAGAACACCCCTTAAAAAGGGCAAAAATCGTTAATAATCTCAACAAACGAACTCTGGATCATGCCAAGCGATATAGATCAATAATGTATACCATTAACAAGTTATTATGATGGTTTTTTATACATAAATTCAAGTAATACACAGTTTTGTCAAGTTGAGAATATGCTCATATTTGGAGTTATCAACTACGCACACTATATTGAAATACAAAATGTATTTCTTCCACCAGAAGTTGGGAAAATCAAAAGTCAGCACAATAAGTGGCAGTGCGACAATATGAAGGCTCCGGAAGAGCCCTTATCTATTTCTTCAAAGGAGCCGGACTTGAAATAAAGATGCACTGTTCTCGAGCAAAGTTCGAAGAAATTTGTCGAGTTTAACTGATATTCGTAGAAATAGATATCATATTGAAACAACGAACGAGACAAATAATGAATATTTGGTGATTAAAAAATCATCAATGGAAATAGGTGTGCAATTGCGAAATTGCCCTCATTGTCCTCTGGCTTGTATTATGCCAAAATAAATGTCATTGAAATGCATATGGTAGACCTAAAGTCTACACAATCTAATGAATTTTTTATTTGACACGATCGTCTCCGGCATCCTGAAAATACTAGGGATGGCAATGGGTCGGGTTCAGCCGGACACGAGGCCCGACCCGAAGACACATGGTTGGACCCGAAACCTAAACCGGACTCAACCCGAACAATACCCGACAAGACTCGATAGACCTGAATTTTTTTTATTCTTAAAATTTAACTTAAAATTGGACCCGAATCCAGACCCGGACCCGACATATATTAAAATTTATATATTTTATTAAAAAATATTATAATAAAATAATAAATAATAAATAAAACTAAAAATATATTTTTAATATAATTTATATTATTAAATTAATTTTT